AATGGTTAGAAATAATGAGACCAATTTCACAAGCTCTTGACAAGCTCCAAGGAGAAGCTTCTGTGGAGTCATACTTTGGTGCTATCTTACCAACTATTCTTGTTATCCAGAAAAAACTTTAATCGTTCACACCATCGCATGCTGCAGCTTTAGTTTTGGCTCTTCAACATAAAATGATGAAGCGCTTTGGTGATATATTGGAGTTTGACAATGTATCCAACAACAACAAGATTTTGTTGTTGCATCAATTAGCCATCTATTTTTCAAGATCAGGTGGATGCCACCTTCAGTTCACCAGCAGGCCAAAGAGTTATTTCTGGTAGAAGTGAATCGAATCAAAAGCCTCATAACTTTTAGAGAGGGTAAAAAGTCCACATCATGCACAAATCGAGATTTTGATTTTTATGTTTTCCATGAACCCAACCCTGAATCAGGTTTAAACCATAAAGTAGAAAGGTTGCAATATCTCAATGACCCTTCACATGATATGGAGTAACTAAAGAAGTAAGTGCGGTTGACTTATCAACCAATCTCAATGTTATGTATTATAAAATAAAAGCAATTTAGTTATAAAATCTATAAAATACATTTCAATTTTGAATTATTGAATAAAATTTATGTCTTTATTATATTCTACATAACAATAGTTAACAGCTTTAAATAAAGTTATTCAGGTATCCTACTGTTGCAAGATTGTTTTTAGAATACAAAACAACTGTGCCATCATCGGCTCCCGTTGAACGTTTGTTCAGTCAAGCTGGACTAATTCTTAAACCAAAAAGAAATAGACTGTGATGATTCATTTCTGTTGTTGCTAAAAAAAAACAAACTGAACTGTGTGTGACTGTAAATAATAAACTTATTGAAAATAAAGTGACTGATGTGTATCACAAATAAATAGATAAATAACATTTTTATTTAATTTTGACTTGTACTTATGTACTTAGTACTTAAGTACAAAGTACTCAAATGTCTACAGTACTTAATGCTTATACTTAAGTACATTTTTACTGAGTACTTGGTACTTATACTTGAGTACATTTTTTGAGTACTTACGTCAACACTGATATATATATATATATATATATATTTTACAATATTCTATAAATTCTACCGAATGTTTGGCATTAATATGTTTGTAGTTCGTTTTTTCGATTTTTCTCACTAAAGTTTTTTGGTGAAATATTAGAAGACACGTTAGTCGACAAAAAGCGAAAAACATACACGTGCAAGTTAGTCAAGTTAGCAATAATATATGATTGTCTGAAACTATGGAAAGTCATAAATATATTGAAACATATATAATATATATATATATTATTTCAATACTTTCCCTTGTTTCAAAACATTTTATGACATTAGTCCCATATGTTCACACAGGTGTTTCAGTTTGACTCTGTCCAGTAACTTTGTCATCACATCAGCGACTTGATCACTTGTTGAAATTTGTGTGATATCAACCGTTCCATCTTGAATTTTTTCTCTAATAAAAAAGTTCTTCAAGTCAATGTGTTTTGTTCGCCGATGAAATTGTGGGTTCTGAGCTAATTTGACTGCAGCACTGTTGTCAACTTGCAAAATTGGCACATCTTTCAAATCAACCTGTAATGATTTGAATAATCTTTGAAGCCAAATTATTTCTTTGACAGCCTCTGTCGCAGCGATGATCTCAGCCTCTGTTGTAGATGTTGCAACTATGGCCTGTCGTTGACTAATCCATGATATTATGCCTCCTGCATATATCACTGCAATACCTGTGGTCGAACGTCCAGTCTTTCTACAGCCTCCAAAATCTGAATAACTGAAACACTGTAAAACTCCTTTTGTACTGTCTGATCTGTACACAATGCTCTGATCGATTGTTCCTGCTAAGTATCTAATTATATATCTCCTGGTGTTGGGTTCTCGAGGGAGCGTGATAAATAGCTAATGCTGTACGCAATGTCTGGCCTTGTACCTAACATCAGGTACATTAATGCTCCAACTAGTTGTCGAAAAGGGTATTCTGAACCTGCTATGTCTGATTGATTATTATCATTTTCTTTAAGCATTGGGGTGTGAACTGGTTTACATTCTTCAAATCTGAAAAGTTTAAGAATTTTCCTTGCATAACCAGATTGACAAACTTTTATGCTTCCGTCCAATAGAGTTTCTATTTGAAGACCTAGAAAATATGTTGCAGGTTTAACTGTAACCTGAAATTTCAGCTTCAATTTTCCAATGAATAGATCTAAATCTTCTGTGTTGCTAGCGGCTACCAGTCCATCATCAACATACAACGCTAACATCATAATGTTTTCATTCTGTTTTTTAACATACAGACATGGATCCGCTTCACTCGACTTAAAGCCACATTCAAAAAGAAACTTTCCGAAGCATTGATTCCAAAAACAAGGTGCTTGCTTTAGACCATACAGACTTTTGAGCAATCGACAAACTTTATTTGAGCCATCATTATATCCTTCTGGTTGTTTGATGTGGATCACTTCATCAAGTTCACCATACAGGAATGCAGTTGATACATCAAATTGAAGAAGATGCAGTTTTTCACTTGCTGCAATACTTAGTACAGAGCGAACTGTAGTCAACTTTACTACTGGACTAAACGTCTGATTGTAATCTACATTTTGTCGTTGTGAAAATCCTTTTGCCACAAGTCTTGCCTTGTATCTATTTACACTTCCGTCTGGCAAGGTTTTTATTTTGTAAACCCATTTACATGGACTAACTTTAGCTCCTCTGGGTAGCTCACAAAGTTCCCAAGTTCTATTTTTGTTTAATGAATTAATTTCATTATTCATGGCATCATTCCAATATTTACTTTCCCTGCTTTGAATGACTTCTTCGTATGTACATGTTCATGTACATCTAATAAATATGTCTCAGCCTGCATCACATAATCATCTACTTCATAGGTTTCTGCAAGCTTGACCTATCTCTGAGTTGAACTTCAACTGAATTATCCATAATCTTCTCAGTGTCATCTGTAATTTCTTCTTTTGAATCATCATTTCTACTACTCGAGTCATTTTCTGATTTGCAATTGATTTGAGGATCTGTTGTAAAATCTTTTTGAGTCTGATGTTCAAATGATGTTGTACATTTCATAGGTTTTTCTTGGAAAATTACATCTCATGAGAATATCATTTTATATTGATTTTTGAGCCATATACGATAGCGTTCGTCACCATCGTAACCAACAAGGTAACCTTTTATGGCTTTCTTATCCATTTTTTGACGTTTTTGATCAGGTATGTGAACAAAACATGTAGAGCCAATTATTCTCAAATGGTTAATTCTCGGCTTTTTACCTGTCCAAATTTCAAATGGGCTTTTATCTTCAATCAACGACTTGCCTGTTCGATTAAGTAAATATACTGCAGTTGAACATAACTCAGCCCACATAGCGACTGGAAATTCAAAATCTGGATTTGAGTACTTCAATATGCGTGCCATTTCTACTAATGTTCTGTTTTCACGTTCACTACCACCATTTTGTTGAGGTGTATATGGTGCTGTTAGTCTTTGCGTGATTCCATGGCTGCGCAGGATGTTTCGAACTTCTTCGTTGTCAAACTCACCCCCATTGTCACTCAAAAATTCTTTTACTTTATGACCTTGAGTCGCTGCTTGAGACAAAATATTTTGTAGTGCCTGTTTCACTTCATTTTTGTGCCTAAGAAAAGAAATGAACCTCATTTTGCTGTAATGATCTTTGAAAACAAAATATCGTTTACTATTAAATGATTCTGTACTGAAAGGACCACAAACATCTGCTGATAGTAGTTCACCTGGTTTATTGGTTGCATTTCTCTTGCCAAATTTTAACCGATGTGCTTTACCATAGAGACATGGTTCACACAAATCCTTGTCAAGATGAATTTAATGTTTAACTCCTTTTCTATAACATTCTTTATGTGACGTTTATCTTGATGACCAAAACGTTCATGGTAGAGCTGCACTATTGAATTTCACTGACTATATTCACTTCAGCCGGTGTATCTGGAGTTAATGAAATCAAGTTTGCCTCATACAAGGAACCATCTACTCGTCTTATCCCTTGTACTATCACTCGGTTCTTTATAGTGAGTTGACATTTGGTTGCATAAGATTCAAACTTGCTGTTTTTTGAATTTTTATCTTGTGCGGTCTTCAATCTTGCAATTTGGCCGGATAAATCTACATCCGCTATCCAATTGAAATCGAAAAAATTGCTACAAACTTGGAACAGTTGGTCCTTAGTTGACGCTTCAAAATTTCTTTTTAATTCCTCCCAAACTTCAAACGCTGTGTTCTTGTCCATTATCTTTTGGTATGTATCTTCTGTGACTGCATTCGCAATTACTGATTTTGCATAACTGTTTGCCTTTCTAAACAGATTTGATTTATTTTTAAAATCTTTTGTCTGTTGCTCTGTTTGATTTTCTAGTAATTCTGGTTTCTACAACTTCCCATCAATCACATCAAGTGCACCCTCATGGTAGTCCATGAAATCTCGAACACGACGTTTCCAAATGGGCCAATCGGCTGCGCAACTTAACTGTTTTATTTGAAGCTTTGAGTCCATTTTGAAGAAAAAAAATTGATGTTCTTGCTTCAACGATAGATGGAAAAGTTCTTTTAGTCACGAATTGCAATCTCTTTCTTTTTTTAAAAAATAACTTTTTTTCTAAACAATTTATTAAGCGTTCTGGGCTCATAACCTGTTTAAAATAAAAAACTACTTTGTTTGTTTTTAATATAATTGTTTATTAAAGAAACGTTAATTGAAATAATAAAAGACACGTTAGTCGACAAAAAGCGAAAAACATACAACGTGCAAGTTAGTCAAGTTAGCAATAATATATGATTGTCTGAAACTATGGAAAGTCATAAATATATTGAAACATATATAATATACATATATATTATTTCAATACGTTCGAGGGCCAACATAGGTATTTTAAATATAGAAAAAGACCCAAAACACTTATATTTATATTTAAAAATAACAACGGTTATCAGCTGTCTAGGTGCCATTGTATTTCTATTTTGAGCTGATTTTATATTTATATAAATTAAATACCCTAATTTTAAATATGGCCATGGTTTTCACTGTGGGCTCAAACATTTGGGAATTATTGTAATTATTTAGCATTTTAAGCTACTTATGATTAAATCAAAAAAAATTTTTACAAGCTGACAAATATTTTTATATAATTAACAAAAAATTCACCAACGGGGATTTCTATAGATTTGATATCCTGATTAAATATTCTTAAATCTTTTTACATATAGACTATATATTCGTAAGATTCTTTGGTTTTGCTATGAATGTGTAGTGGCTAAGAAAAATGGAGAAAGGCTATAAGTTTAACCCATATAACTGAATCTGAGTTCATTAATTCACTATTATTCTCTAATATAAATATAAGTGTTTTGGGTCTTTTTCTATATTTAAAATACCTATGTTGGCCCTCGAACGAACCCGCGCCCATTTTTAGTGCGCTTTGATATCTTTAAACAACTGTGTGTCAGAAAGTCTCAACTCTGTTATATGTTTTTTAGCTTATTCTCTTCTTTTCTTAGAAACTCTGTAACATTTGCATCAACGTTTAAAAATAAGTAGTCTGTTCTATCTAAACTATTTCATAAAACATATTCTCACTCATCTTTTTATACAGGAATAATCAATCTTATTTCTCGTTGACAACAGTGTACTGATTGTAATGGTTCTTATTTTTGATTTATAAACTTAAAATCGAGCCGAGATATTGAACTTCAAAGTGGACATTACAAATGCGACATTATTTCCTTTTAACCTATTATTTAACAGACTTGAATTACTTAACTATTAACTTAAAAAATAAAATTAATAACACTCACACAATTAATTAATTAATTTAACTGATAAACCAGAGGACACATAACTAAACTATCAAATGACCCTTTGTCCAGAAACATATATTGGTAAATGGAAATTATTATTTTTAAACTAAATGCAAAATATCTGTATGAAATTATCAATGAGTGCTAAAAACACTTGTACAAATTTGGTATGAACATAAACATTAAATTTACCTTATGTTTTCCTTGAGCAGAAATGATAACGTGGAATTGATAGATGCCAGGAACCGGAGCTGTAACTCTTCCACTGTATTTGTCATAGATATCATCTTCATTTGTTATAATTTTATCAAAAATTACGTCGGCATGTTCAGTTATCGGACCCAGATTTTTCATTAATCCGACAAAAAATGCACAAGTTACTGAATGTAAGATAATTTATAAATGTTTGAAAAAATTTTTATAATTATAATTTCTTATTGGTTGGTCAATATTATAATTATCAAAATTTTAAATACTTGTTGGTCGGTCAAGTTTGAATGATTCTGGACGGTTTGTACGGACAAACAAACCTTTATTTAAGACATTTATATTGCTAGAAAATTGTGCTGTTTTGTTAGAGCATGCTAGTGTTAATTGGCAAACGTTTGAGCCAAGTTCTAAAAAAGTAAAAAGTAATATTAAAATTTACAATAAAAAATGTTAATTGGCAAACGTTTGAGCCAAGTTCTAAAAAAGTAAAAAGTAATATCAAAATTTACAATAAAAATATTTTCAAACTTACTTAATTGCACGCATTTGCTTTGTAGAATAACTAAAATAATTGCCCACACATTCATTTTATTTTAGTTCAAACCAAATACTAAAATTAAACTTGTTTTAAAAAAATATTCAAAGCTGCTATAAAATGGGGGAATTTAACAATGCTACATGAATAAGCTTCTGAATAGGCTGATCACGTTTTTCTTAATGGGCATCGTTAGACCGTTGCACATTTTAACCTCAAAAGGATTTACAAACTTATATGGCTTTCATCAATTTCATTTTGTGTGTGTGTGTGTGTGTGTGTGTGTGTGTGTGTGTGTGTGTGTGTGTGTGTGTGTGTGTGTGTGTGAACGAATAAAAAATAAAAATAAGATAATAAGGTACGAGCCTTAATACGCTTAGGTTTATCATCATGCTTCCGAGTTGATGTTGAAGTAATTGGTACTGGATGGTTAGTGGTTGACGTAGTTTGTCGATTGGTAGATGTCTTGTTCTTGTTGTCATGTTTTGTCTCGATGGTTCCCGATAAATGGAGATTATTATCTAGATGTTGCATGTTTGGGTTTGTGTGTGTATGTGTATGTAGTTTTTGTTGAGGATTGATCTGGTATGATATTGTTGACAGGTTTTAATTTTGCACCTTGTTTTTCTGTGTTTGTAAATGGTTATTCAAGATTTTTATCAAGATGTTGTATGTTTGAGTGTGGGTGCGTATGTATGTATGTATATGTGTTTGCTGTTTGAATAATTACTGAGTTTTCGTAAAGTTTGTTGTTGTGATTGGTTTTGTGTCGGATGTCGTTGATGTGTTTGTTGTTGTTTCTGATGTGGATGGTGTTTGTTTTTTGCTTTTCCCTTTTTTGCGTGTTTGGTCCTATCGGTTTTTTTGAGATGACGTTTGCGGCCAATGGCGTTTTTAGTTCGTTTGTTGTTGGGTTTGTAGTGATGCTGTTGGATTGTTTGTGTGTGAGTTGAATGTCTGTTGATGTCCGTGCTGTGTGATGTGATGCTGTTGATGATAGAGTTCATGTCGAACTCAAAGAGTAGATCATCATCGTCTTTGTCCATAAAAGAGCTGAAATTGAGGTCGACCATGGGGGTTGCGGGATTGGAGTTGGATGTGATGTTGGTGTTGTTCGTTGTGGTAAGTGGTGTGTCGGGCTCGGTTTCATCTATTGATCGTCTGTTTTTACCGTTTGCTGTTGTTCTGGTGTGTTGTTGCCTTGTGATTTGGCTGGTTGGTGTTTTGTATGTATAGTTGTTGTTGGTGAGTTTCGAGTGGGAGGTGCAGGGTAGGTTGTCGTTCGCATTATTGTTGTTATTATTATTATTGTAATCATTGTTGTTGATGTTGTTGTTGTTTTGTTTCTGGTTCTTACTGGAGTTGCTTGTGGCGTTGTCGTCGTTGTTGTTTTTGGTGTTGTCGTCGCTGTTGTTCCGGTTGTTGTTGCGGATGATGGTGTTGATTGTATTGATTTCATTTTTGATGATGTTGTCAATTTTATTCTTGTGATGGTGACAATTTTTTCTCTTTTGGAGGAACTTGATGCGTTCCTCGATTGGTTTTACGTTATCAATCCAGTAAACGGGATTGCTGGGCTGTTAATGGCTATCACTTCATTTTTGGCATACAAATGGGTCTTTAATATGGATCTTATTCTATTGTTATACTCTTTTTGTATCTGTTCCTTCATCATTTGCTGTTGAATTCCTCCCACCTCTTCCATTCCCAAGTATCTGTACGTCTCCTCTACATCAACACCTCTGATATGAGTTTCAGGACGAACATCAACACCATCATTTAGCATCACTGTCTCCTTCCTTATTTCTATGGTGGCACATTTATCTATTCCAAACATCATTTGTATATCTGTACTAAAGTTCTAAACAATCAGTAGTGCTCTTCTTAGTTGATCTTCGTTTGGCATGAATAGTTTCAGATCATCCATGTACAGTAAATGGCCAACACATTGATCATATATTTTATAACCTAACATCTGCTTGTTAAGAATACCAGTAAGTGAAAATAAAGACATGCAGAATAACAATGGTGAAAGTGAGTCTCCTGGAAAAATTCCTCCTTTTATTTGTATAGTGTCTGTGATTAACAAACCTTTGTCGTGGTAGAGACACATTCTGGTTTTCCAGTTAGACATTGAATTTTCAATGAATATTCTGATATCACTTGGTAATTTATATATAGACATTACTTCCAAAATCCAGGATTGTGGGAAACTATCAAATGCTTTCTTATAATCGATCCATGCCATGTTTAGATTTCTTTTTTTTATTGCTGATCTGATAATTGCCATGTTTAGCATAAGCTGATCTTTACATCCTCTCGAAGATCTTTTGCATCCTTTCTATTCTAGAGGAAACAGTTCATTCGCAAATAGGTAGATACTTTTAGATAGGTAGATTTTAGATAGGTAGATATCTTTTAGACAATAAATACGTCACTCCATCTGTCAGCCATTATGGTATAAGTGTTGCATCTTTAATTATTGCCTTGAAAGCCTCTGTTAATGCAGGATGAATCACTGTTAGTTTTTTAATCCAGAAGTTTTGTATTCTATCTGATCTTGAGCTTTTCCAATTTGAAGATTTTTTAATAGCTTTAGTGACTTCATCAAGTCAAGTGTGAGATCTTTCCATTTACTTTCCTTCAAATGATTAAGTGATCTTTTTACATCTGTAATCCAGTCTGCTTCATTTCTGTGATATACCCTATTTTCTAGAATTTGTCTCCAGAAGCCATCAATTTCTATGAAGGAGAATCAATATTTTCTTCTTTCTTGTTTTTTATTTTTCTGTAAAAATTTTTGCTACTATTATTAAACATTATATTTTGTAAAAACTGATCACTACGTCTAATATATCTTCTAAGTCTTTGCGCTTTAGCCTGTAATTTCATTATTATTGTTTTCTGGACTTCATTTAATTTGTCTAATTTAACTTCATAATTTTCACATATTTTAGCCACCTCATCTGTTATCTTAGGACTAGAGTTTCCTTTCATAAATTCTTTTATCAAAGCAAGTTCCTTCCTGTAATTGGCAATTGTTTGTTGTATTCTTTTCTTTCAAGGTTGAATCTTTATGTGTTAATAAGACTCCACTTTTTCATCTTTTTCTTGTGCAATAACAATTGCAATTGTGTAAATCATAACATTTAAATATGTAAGATTAAGACTACTTTTTTCTAATAGATATTTTAAAGTTTTATTTGCTACCTCCAGGTCTTTGGAGTTTTTGTATGGATGTAAAATTTTGTTGACATTTTTTTTTTGTTCATATCTGAGTATCTGATCTTCGATATCTTTTGTTGAATTTTATTTATCATAATTTTAACATCATCTCTAAATTGATCTTTTGTATTTAATTGAGCTGCGGCTATTTTCTGATTATCTGAGGCATCAACTAACTGATCTTGTTGCTGCTGCTGTTGTTGATCATGGGTCTTGGCCATTGAGATCACTTCATTATTTATATCTTTAATCTCAGCCGTAGTTAACTTATTTTGATTTATGATAAATCTTCTCATGTTGCTTAATTTTTTTTTCATGTTGCTTAGTTTATTTTTCTCATGTTGCTTAGTTTTTTTTCTCATGTTGCTTAGTTTATTTTTATTATTTTTATTATTATTATTTTTGTTGTTGTTGTTGTATGTTGAAACATGAGAGTTGGTGGATTTCTGCTTACTCACTGTTTTTGTATATTTTAATCTGTTTTTACTAAGTTTAATAGTTTGAAAATTGGTTCGAAAGTCGCGTAAACTTATGGCGGTCAATAATTTCTTAAATAGTTCTAATTTTAAATATTTAATTATTTTATTTCTGATTTTAAACTTAATTTTAACAGTTAACGCAAGTAAATGCTCATAGTGTTTTAAAGACCTTATAAATGTTATTAGTCACTCCTGGCGTTGTACATAGGCTACGTTAGTCAACAATAACATTTGCACACGTTTATCTCCAAAGGATAATATTAATATATCTCCAAATATTTTAGTTAATAACTCAAATAATAATAATAATTCAATTAATATCGACAATAATTCAATTGTTTGTTGTTGGGGTAGAAGCTGTAAAGGCAGAAAGGGTACACGATGCACCAACGTGCGTGCAAAATATTTTGAAACTTTTCAAATTCGGATAGTACAACAAACGACCCAGATGATGGTTCTAACTCGGAGTTACTTTTTCCACAGCGGCAATCACTTGTCCCACCCTCAATAAGGGGACAAGGTAGATACACCACTTCCTGGTTTAAAACTGCCCAAAACTGTGAAACAATGGGCGACGGCAAACGCGTACTTCCATTCGCAGAGAACAAATCTACCCAATGTCAACAACATCGACAACTTTGCCAACAGTCTTCAATCAGTAATATACGACTACTTCGCTTCAAACTATGGCACGTTGGAAACAAAAACAATTTCATCTGTTGATCAGAACAAGCCAATCAACAAATTGAAGAAGGAGCTAAAACAACTCAAAGTCTTGGGCCGAAACAATCACAACTATGACTTGCAAATCAAAGCGCTTAATAAAGAAATAAGATCAAAGTTATCAGCCTTGAAAGCGCAAAAATTTAGGAAGAACTCAGATATTACCAATCAATTGCAACAAAAATTATGGCCTACTTGTAAAAAGCTGTTTAACCTATCAAATAGTTCGCTACCTTTGTTCAACGTTACAGAATGTGAAAAATTCTTTAAAAATATTTTAAATAATCAGCTCACCAAAAAGTTCCGTTTGCCAAATTGGATCTACACTCCGCCGGATCCATCATTTCCATGCTCTGTTGACCCCCCAACATACAACGATATTTTATCAATCATTCGCAAATGCAAGTCAAGAGCATCTCTCTGCCCTTTAGATCTAATATCAATAATTATTTTCAAAAAATGTCCAATAATTCGCACAATTTTACACCAACTGCTGGTTGAATGCTGGAAATCATCGTCAATCCCTTCACGCTGGAGAAAGGGCCTGACGATATTGATACACAAAAAAGGTGACGACAGCGATCCAGCAAACTTCAGGCCAATAACGCTTCAACCAGTTCTCTATAAAATGTTTTCAACATTTGTCAACAATAGATTATACAAATATTTCGAAATGAATAACATCATCAATAAATCAATGAAGAAAGGTTTCTACCCAAAAGTAGACGGTGTAGCTGAACACACCCATTTATTGTTCCATCTACTGAGAGACGCAAAGAAGCACCAGAGAACTATCATTGTTATTCTTCTGGACTTATGGAATGTTTGGTGAAGTTTGGTGAAGTTAGTCATGATCTCATTTCATCAGTCCTTCAACACCACCATATCTTGGACCAAGTGAGCAATTTAGATCAATATATGGTAATTACTCCATTACTGTATCTGTGTGTAATGATTTAACTCCACCCATTCCGGTGAAACGTGGAGTACTGCAAGGCGATCCCAGCTCTCATTGCTTTTCAACTTATGCTTCAATCCTCTAATGGAAGTATTACATCAAAAATATTACCAACAATGCGGATACATTTGGGGAACAATTGCTAGCCTAGTCACGAACTTGGCTCCAATTTGCTGACTATTCAGCAATCATTGCAAACAGCACAGAGGGAGCCTAAAAACTGATTGATCTCAATCTAGCTTGGTGCCGATCGACGAGTATGAGGATGAGAATAGATAAATGTTGTACATTTGGGATGCAAAAAATCGATGGAAGATATGAACAATTTTTCCCAAAATTAACAATAGATAATGAGACGATCACTCAGATCAACATCAATGATCATTTAACATATTTGTAAAAAATTTATGGCTTCGATTGTAGGAACGCAAAAGAAATGAAGTTACTACATAGTAAACTCAAACAAATACTACTACATTGATGAATTAGATACATCCGTCCAGTGGAAACTTGAAATTCTAAGACGCTTTGTTCCATCCCAAATAATATTTGAACTTCGTATGTACGACATTTCATTGACATGGATAGAAAATACGTTAGGCCGTCTGATAACAAAGACCGCGAGAGATTGGCTGACCATGAGTAAGCAGCTGCGTCGCAGAAATATTATCTTTGCCCTACAAATCTGGAAGCCTCAACGTAAAATTGCTAAAGTGCCATGTTGAAATGGCGAGGCTGAAACTCCGTGGTTACTTTAAACGAAACGCAAGCGATGAAATAACATTTCTCTGGAACGAAACATGTAACACTTACAGAAAAGTTGACAATCTCATTCTGGAAAATGTTGATATTAAGCAGAGGGACTTGAAGCTCTCAAACGACAACACCATCAGAGGGACCTGAACCACCTGTCGATATTGCAGTGTCAAGGAGCTCTGGTCATATCAGTAAATGAAAATATTCACAACTCAGAGATTGCACGATGGTTTAAATCGACAATAAAACTATCCAAAGTCCTTTATAAATTTGTAAGAAAATATATTACACAACAACTGCCTACAAATGCTAACTTTCAAAGATGGGACAAAACAACCAATACGTTATGCCATCTTTGCAATGTGAGACAAATTAATAAACATGTGTTCTTAAATAGTAGCTCAACGGCAGCACTCAAACGATACTGAAATCGCCACAACAAAGTTCTTTCAATAATCATCAACAATATCAAGGCATGTGCTGGTTCGAATATCGCCATCTTCGCCGATGTAGATGATGATGCGAAACGTCCACTATCAGAGCTATTCAGATCGCTTAGACCAGACATCGCCATTCTCAGCAACAATACGATTGAAATACTTGAATTAACTATTTGCCACGAAACAAATTTTGCCAAGTCCAGGCAATACTAACTCGACAAATATACAACCAATCTCAAAAACAACCTTATGAACAATTTTAATCATTATACCATTTTAATAAATTCTTTTGAATTATCGCCCATAGACTTTCACAATTCCTTCAATTTATCTTTAATTAAAATTGACTGGACCGAATATTTTCGACAAAGTTTAATTAGCAGTGTGATATCATTATCATATACCATATATTGAGATCGGAACAATGCGTGAATCAATTTTCATAACTATCATATCATCGCTGTACTTATTTTATTTTAAATGAAGAGTGATTATGACTAACTATGATGATTAGGATTTCAAGAACAATAACAGTTTAGTCCAAAAGCGTTCGGACGTTCCAGGTTGCAAATCAAATAGATCCACAAATTTTTTTTGTTTTTGACCGCTTAGGAAGATGCCATTTGGGAACGAACAATTTTCAAGTCATCTTTTCTAGGCCCCTTCTTGTTTGAGGTGAGCAGTGTGAGTACTAAATTGAGCTGCCCAGTTGCCCTAAAAGCTGTCAAAAAGATTTGTAATTTCTTTTCAAAAACTCAGCAACCATCACTCCAGGACTGCTTGTGTGCAGCACACAGACTAGAGGTTTTCAATTCTATCTTGAATCTACCTTCGTCACCAATGTAACCATCACCACAGTTTTTTAAAAGGTTTCCTGTCACCGGTATTAACGTGCAAAACAAAACAGACGCAGAAAATTTTTAACGTAGAAGGAAATTGCAAAAGCCTTCGATCCACAAAATTTTGCTGCAGCCATCTGAACCTAGTGGCATGGAGCTTCTCGTAGACAGCTAAAAATGACTGCAACTGCAGAGACCTGCCGGTTATCTTTTTATGATAAATGCCGCCTGACACGTGGTTTAACGCGGGTATGCGATTAGAGTTTTTTTCTCTTAGACGATGTGCTATTGCTAACTTTGAGCTTTATCTACTTGGGTTTTGTTGTCAGAGTGTGCTTGCTTCTCTGGGTTTTGAAATCCGAGTTAACCTTTTTTTAGGCAGTTTGATAACGGGTGCTGTCAACCCGGGTCATTTGGTTTAAGCGCCAAGAACTGTCTCTCGTTCTTTCTGCTGTTGTATTACCCATGGAGAGGGAAGAGGACGCCAGTAGCTGGACTTTAGAAGCAGAGCCTGTATCAGGAGGGCATTTTCCAGGATCTATAGTTGCACAGCTGACCAAAGCAATGCAGACCCTGAGACTTATACTCCCTTCCCCCAACTACATATACATAACATCACTACACATTCATACAGTTGATAGTTGATCTGTCATCAGATATCTAATGACAGATCAACTATGACGGTTGCCGTATCTGATGATAGATTGACTATATATATATCATCATCATCATATAGTTGATCTGTCATCAGATATCTAATGACAGATCAACTATGACGGTTGCCTTATCTGATGATAGATCGACTATATATGACTATATATATATATATATATATATATATATATATATATATATATATATATATATTCTGACATTTTTTCTAAAACTCTTTAGTTCTTTCTCTAACTTAATGGCTTTCCAAATATAGCGTGATGGCTCAATGGTTGAAGGCGCCTGGTATGGCTATTGCAATAATTGGGTTCGAATATCCCCGCTTATCATATGCAATGTGTACGATGCGTGGTTTGCACGCCTATTCATATACGCTGTGTGCGTTTGTCGTTGAAACCTCTGAAGCAAACGCTAAAAAGAGAGAGTAAATTTTAACTTTTTTTTACCTTTGAAAAATGAGAAAATAATTTAAAATAAATTACAACAACTTATCAGCCCATAACATAATAATCCAAATACACACATCGTCATATTTTATTATAGGAATCATATGAACACCAACTACAAAACGGACAAATTCGTCTTAAAACAATTAACAAAACCTTTATAAAAATGTCAAACCAAATGCCCTTCTGACAAAATAAAACAACGAATTTATTATAGAAATGCAAAGACATCAAACCTTCTCATGAACAACAACTGCATATATGAATTTACATGTCCCCTTGACGACTGGGCACGTCAGAATGTTTCATATATCGGAGTAACTACAGGCGACTGACCATGCACAAAAGGGAAGGTTCAATAAAAACACATCTAGAACAAACATAATATTGAAACTACAAGAAAAATCCTTGACAACACCAAAATAACATACTGTAATTCTAGCAATTCCCATCTGAAACTAGCCGAAGCCATTCTCAAACAACCACTGATAAACAAACAACAAAAGATTTCAACAATGCTACAATAATAAAATATACTAATAACACCGATGAAGACACTGAAGAAAGTAACATCGACCTAAGTGCTATCAAAAAGCAAGTAAATGATACCGATAAAATTAGCACAATAAAAAATAACAACAAAGCAATAAAAATCGCACCGAAGCCATTAACCCGAACAAAGAAACCATATCATTTGGTAAAGAAGACAGTAAAATTAACAAAAAAACAAAGGCCTGGGTTACGCAAATTTTCTGTATAGATTGCAAAAAGTGGTGGGTTATACAAATTTTCTATATAAACTGCAACAAGTGTTGAAGATAATTGAAAAGGTCCTAAATACTCGAGAATGAGTTTGAAAACTGTATATTATATATATTATATATATATATATATACTGTGCCTCCTATTTAATATATATATATATTTCAAAATTCAACACAACTTTCAACATTGTTCAACTTTTTTATATTTCTTTTTAGTTTATTAATGTCAGAAAAATTAGAAATTTAATTGTTTTAAAAATTTTATTAAATAAATTTGCAGATAGCTATTTCGAGTTATAGATAACTCATCTTCCGTGCATTATATATAGTGTATGTAAGATATTTGATAAAATAAGAAGGAACAAATAATTATTAATTAATATAAATTATTAAAAACAGAAAACGAATAAAATAAATTTAATAACATTAAACAATATAAAACGCGATTTTCAAAATTTTAACGACAAGATTGTTTATATCATGGTTGTTAATGTAAATATCAACGCTCAGCCGAAAAGAAGCGCTTATTAATTTATTTAATTAAATACATATTATTAATATTATTTTTACATGCCAGATATCACATGGCTGACGCTGCATAAAGCATAAATCATGCCAGCATTATGCTGCATGCTGGCATGATTTATGCATCCTGCATAAATCATCCACTTTTTGCTTTAAATTTTTTTTCTGAAAATACTTTAGGCTTAAAGCCTGCTCTTGTGCTGCAATCAAAAGACTCTCGTTTCTATTTTCAGACCTAAACTTTGTAACTATTTTCATATGTATGTTAAATCAATTCCTTTTTTATCTATACTGTTGATAAATTGACCGTGGAGTGATTTACATTTGTATCTATTTTTGTGGTTGCTTTCTTGTAGTTTTTTAAAATCTTTCTTGATAATTTTTTCATGAATGGAGTAGAAACGTTTTATTTTTTCCACTTCCTTTGAAATTGAATATTTCTTTTTATTTTCATCAGCTTTTGAAATTATTTCAACGTGTTTATCTTGTTTTGTTTGAATATAAAAATTGAGATCTATCAAAGATTTTTCAAACGAATCTTCAATTCCAATAAGTCCTCTTCCACCACCTTTCCTGCTAATATATAGTCGGTCAACATCTGCATTTGGATGGTGTGCTTCTCCCATTGTGAGTAATTTTCTTGTTTTTCTATCTATCGCCTGCAGTTCGAGAATACCATAACTGTAAATCATAACCGGAATTTCTAGGCTGTTAATGGCTATCACTTTATTTTTGGCATTCAACTGGGTATTTAATATGGATCTTATTCTATTGTTATACTTTTTTTTATCTGCTCCTTCATCATTTGCTGTTGAATTCCTCCCACGTCTTCCATTCCCAAGTATCTGTACGTCTCCTCTGCATCAACACCTCTGATATGAGTTTCAGGACCAACATAAACACCATAATTTAGCATCACTGTCCCCTTCCTTATTTCTATGGTGGCACATTTATCTATTCTAAACATCATTTGTATATCTGTACTAAAGTTCTTCACAATCAGTAGTGCTCTTCTTAGTTGATCTTCGTTTGGCATGAATAGTTTCAGATCCTCCATGTACAGTAAATGGCCAACACATTGATCATATATTTTATAACCTAACATCTGCTTGTTAAGGATACAAGTAAGTGGAAACAAAGACATGCAAAGTAACAATGGTGAAAGTGAGTCTCCTTGAAAAATTCTTTTTTTTATTTGTATAGTGTCTGTGATTAACAAACCATTGTCGTGGTAGAGACACATTCTGGTTTTCCAATTAGACATTGAATTTTCAATAAATATTCTGATATCACTTGGCAATTTATATATAGACATTACTACCAAAATCCAGAAATAAGGGACACTATCAAATCAATCAATCAATCTTCGTTTCCCGAGGTAGGACGTTGTTTTCTTTGCCATCAACTTTTTGCGCCAAATTAGACGATCAGTTAGTTATATCCATTTCATTTAAATTTAGAGCTTTCATGTCTTGCTCGATTGTTTGCGACCGGGACTTCTTTAGACAGCCTTTGGGACGTGTGCCAGGTACTTCAACATCTGTAAGAGAAGTTATGGCGCTGTTTCCACTTCGTTTGACATGACCAAACCACCGCAGACGGTGTTGCCGGCATTCGTCCTTTATATCATCCAAACCAGCACGACGCAGGATTTCGGTAAATTTGATGTGGTCCTTCAGACTAATTCGTTGCATCCATCGGAGCATTTTCATGTCGGTTCGTTGAAGTTGTTGCTCTAGTTTGGTTGTCATTGGTCATGTTTCTGCACCATATAACAACACTGGACGTATCACAGATTTATGAAGTCTTGATCGTATTGGTAGTGGGATGTCACGCCGCATCAATATAGAGGCAAGGAGATGCCATTCATTCCAGGCTGAACGTATGCGTTAGGGTTAGAAACGGCTGCTTCAGCTGTTCCAGTAAAATCCAGAACATCCCCTAGATATTGAAACGATGTGACTTTCTCTATTTTAATGGCTTCAAAAACAGTGCTATTTCAAATTTGTTGTTGTGGATTGATGCAAGCAGGACAAACAAAATTGGACATTTTAGATAAAGTACCAATAATTTTTGAACAACGTTTGTGACACCACTAACCAGTGATGTCACAAACGTAGACACTTGAATTGTTATCTACACCAGCTTTACAAACTGAACAGGGCCATCGTCCAGTAGCTGTGGATTGGATGGGTTCACCAGTGTTCACTGCTTTGGTTTTGCTGATGTTGACTTTGAATCCATGATCGGCGAGTCTGGTGTTCCAATCTCCAAACATCTGTGCTGCATTCTGCTCAAACGTGGCTGTTAAAACGATATCATCAGCATATACTAGATTCCAAATGTCACCAGTGCGTATCGGTTTTGTGATTTTTTTCATCACAGTTATAAATAATAGTGAACCTTGAATCGAGCCTTGGTGAACTCCAACGCCGATGTCAAATGCATCTGTGTTTCCAACCGTTGTGCTGACAAGAGTCTTAGTATTCGTATACATTTCCATCACAAGTCGAACAAGATATTCTGGAATGAGTTGTCGACGTAAACTCCACCTGATTGCTTCACGGGGAACTAGATCAAATGCTTTTTCAAGGTCTACAAAAATATGTGATAGTTGTTGATGCTTTGCGAGGTACTTCTCTTGCAGTTGCCAAAGGATGTGAATTGCATCAATTGTTGATTTTCCCGCTAGAAAACCAAATTGATAATTTCCGATTGTGATGCACGACGTTAATCTTCTCTCAATGATTTTTTCGACAATTTTTGGGGAGTGTTCTAACAGACGTATACCCCGATATGATGAACAGTTCAATGGATCACCTTTGCCTTTGTATAGCGTATTATTCCTTTCAAAATTCTTTCATCTTCTTTATACGCCATTTAAAAGGTATTTTTGTGATAAAATATTCTCTTATTTTTTTCATTCATTTTGTTGTTTATTTGGTTTTCAATGATACGGCTGTTGTTGTTGCTGTTATTGTTATTGTTGTTGTTATTGTTATTACTGTTTGTGGTGAGGCTTGTGGAGGGGTTGCCATTATCTTCCTGTTCATTGTTGTTTGGAACGTTGTTTTGATGTATATTTTGTGCATTTTCATGATATTTTTTGGTTAATCTATTTATGACTCGATCAATTTGTCTCAAAGAGAAATTATTGTTCACGAGAAGTTTTTGTATTCTTAATATTTTGTGCATTTTCATGATATTTTTTGGTTAATCTATTTATGACTCGATCAATTTGTCTCAAAGAGAAATTATTGTTCACGAGAAGTTTTTGTATTCTTAATAATTCTGAGTTGATGAGTGTATAATCAGAGCAATGTTGAAGCGCTCTGCTAACTAGAGAAAATATAACGCTATTTTTATATTGTTCTGAGGTCTCGCTTTTATCATTAAGACAAAATCCCAAATTGATGTCTTTTACATAAACTTGTGTTTGAAAACCAATGTCATTTCTGGTTATCAGGACATCCCAAAATGGTAGTTGTTTATTGTAGTTATTTCTGGTTATCAGGACATCCCAAAATGGTAGTTGTTTATTGTAAGGGTTCGGTCGGCGTGCCAAAAAGAAAGTGAAAACGGTCGATCGAACTAAGCTCGAGAACGAAAAGAAAAACATGTAAAATATATGCTGTTGACGAACGATTGGCGAGTATAAATAGAAAGAAGTTTATTAGCCAATCACTTGCAACACTTGAGAATATAAATAAGGACAGTCAACAGGCCAAAAGAAAAAAATTGGTTGCAGTGGGTGGGTTAGTTCTACAAATCTAGTTCACGTTCGGTTGTAGTTGGTAATTTACTTCGTTGGGTTGTGGTTTGGTACTTTGGTAGGTAGGTACGCCAAAGCTGGATAAGTGTGAGAGAGGAACTTGGCCCTGTCAACAGCTTCATTTCGGTTAACGCGACCACGTCAGTACTTCGTCGTTGGTAGAGTTCATTTGACGCGTTCTACATCTTCATTTCAGTTAACGCGTCCCGTCAACACTTCATCGTTGGTAGAGTTTCATTTGACGCGTTCTACAGCAACTTTTCTTCAACAACTTCACTCCAGTTAAAACGTCCAAGTCAGCACTTCGTCGTTAGCAGAGTTTCATTTGATGCGTTCCACAACAACGTCTCTTCCACAGCTTCAGTCCAGTTGTTGCGTTTGCGTCAACGCCCGCAACAATAACATTGTCACAATTTTATCATTTCTTATTACTATTGAATTTCTATAGCATTATTATTTATAAACTGAAATTGACTATTATTATGTTATTGTTAGCTCAGGTTATAAATCACAAACTATATTCGATTACTTTCCTGTATTATGTTTGACAATTATTAATATTCCTTAGCATATGTAGTTAACATTTGCTTTCCAGAGCCATTTATCATCGTTATTATTTGTTATCGTTGATGTACTTGAATGATATTATTTCCGTTAGGAACAAGTATTTGATTTTGAGCCGACGCAGATATCGAACCCGACATTTATTATTTTCAATTTCATGGGTAAAGGAAAAAACTGAGTTGGATTTAAAT